ATGTGAAATGAGAACTGATTTTGAATGAAATACCTTTGAATGTGTAGTTTACCTTTGAATGTGAAATAAAAACTGATTACAAAGGCCAATTGTGTATGTGTTTGTTCTTCAATTTTCTATTGAACCTAGATGTTATTCTTAAGATGCTTATATGATAACTGGAACAATTTGAAAGTGTATGTGTTTGTTCAATTCTGTAACAGTTTGAAGGTGCATGCCTCTTTTGTTTTTGAATGAAATTCTTAAGATGCTTATATGATAATGGACTGTAATTTAGGTTATGGACACCAACAATGTTAATCTTGTTGATGCTGATACATCAAAAAAAGAAACTTAAGTCTAAACTTCATAATATAAAAGGAACTCCTTTTTGGTAATTTGACAAATATAAGCAGTTTTTTTCAAAAAAAACTGCAAGTTTTTTAAAGAAAGTTACATTTTTTTCAAAAAAAAAACTGCACTTAGAAAAAGACTACAAATTTTTCAAAAAAACTGCATTTTTTTTAAAAAGTAAATTTTAGGTGCATATATGCATATTTTTTCAAATGCATATATTTATATTTCTTATACTATAATATTCGTAAGTAAATCACAAAAGATCTCATTTTTATTAATTAATCTATAAACATAATAGTACAAGTATTTTATTCGTTACAAAATAAAATATAAAAAATAAAAAATGCTATAAATTTCAAAGCGTTTTCATGTCTTCGTGTCAATATTTCCTTATTTTCTTCAATTTATCATTTTTCACCTTTTCAATATTCACTACAATTTCTTTCAAATCTACAAGAAATTAAAAAAAAATGATTGATGCAAAAACACTCACAAAAATACATATGTGATTTACATATGAATCACAAATGATTCACATATGAATTACATGTGATTTATATGTGAATTAACTAATTGATGCAAAAACACTCACAAAAATACATATGTGATTTTCATGTGATTAACATATGAATCACATGCGATTCACATATGAATCACATTTACATATGACATCATATATAAATCACATGTAAATCAAATGTGAATCACATGTAATTCATATGTGAATCACTTGTGATTTACTTATGAATTACATGTGATTCATATGTAAATTAGATATGAATCACATGTAACTCATATGTGATTCACTTGTGATTTACATATGAATTACATGTGAATCACATGTAATTTATATGTGAATCACTTGTGAATTAAATGTGATTAATATGTAAATTACATATGAATCACATGTAACTCATACGTAATTCACTTGTGATTTACATGTGAATCACATGTAATTCATAAGTGATTCACTTGTGATTTACATGTGAATCACAAGTGAATCATATGTGAATTACATGTGAATCATATATGAATTACTTGTAATTCATATGTGAATTACATGTGAATCATATATGAATTACTTGAAATTCATATGTGATTCACTTGTGATTTACATGTGAATCACATGTAATTCATATGTGAATCACATGTAACTCATATGTAATTCACTTGTGATTTACATGTGAATCACGTGTAATTTATATGTGAATTACATGTGAATCACATGTAATTCATATGTGATTCACTTGTAATTCATATGTGATTCCCTTGTGATTTACATGTGAATCACATGTAATTCATATGTGAATTACATGTGAATCACATGTAAGTCATATGTGATTTACATGTGAATCGCATGTAATTGATATGTGATTTACATGTGAATTACATGTGAATCACATGTAATTCATATGTCATTCACTTGTGATTGTTTTTTTATACCATTTGCATCACAAAAATCTTTACCACATAAAACTAAAGATGAAAGGTTAGGATCAGCAGCAATAAGTCCCTCTTCTACTTTATTTCCAAGACTAATGGCATCCAGACCACTCAACCTGAAAAAGGTCAAAACATTATCTAACAAGAGTTAGTACTTAACAGATCTAAGTTCTTCACAATATCACACAGAATTCAGAACCAGATTAGCCAATCATAACAGCTAATTAACTAAATCACACCAATAAAAACATATATTTGTTCATTATGAGAACCAGATTAACCACTGCACTATACTTTTATATGAATCAAATATGCATTAGTATATTTATGATTCACATTAAATTCATCACTGCCAACACATAAATAATAGAGATCCATTTAGAAAAATAGGACCTATTCTTTTTCAAACTCAAAAATAAAGCACCAATAACATATGTTGAATTTGTTGAAAACTTGCATTCTTCCAGAGAACGGAGTAGCAATTGATGGTTTGAAGCTGTTGTTCCACAAAAGCAGAGTTGATTTAATATACATAAGAGTTTCCATGTGAAAAAGTCATAACAAAAGTTCTTTGAAGTGTAACCTATTCTTTTTCAAACTGAAAAATAAAGCACCAATATTTTCTAGCATTAATATTTTTGTTTAGAAATCACATTATATTGTTCTACACAAACTTTCAAATATATCAATTACTTTTTGTATTTTCAAACTGAATTTTTTTGAAAGTACAACGCAACAATAGAAAAAAATGGCCCTCTCTAAAATATATCCTTATCTTTTGCATTTGTGCCGAAAATCCCGCTTTGAAATCCTTACTTCCACTAAAACGAGGGAGATGGACCTTGAATGGGAAAGGTTGAGGGGTATTTAGTTTTGTAGTTGCATTTTCTCAAATATCCCTTCTAAGGTCTTTTAACTCAAAAATGGATGTAATGTACATAGATGAAACAAGTTAAAGGAACTTAGAGTGCAAAAAAAACGTACCTCCTGAAACATTTCCTTTCCCTTGTCTTTTATAAAAATCTGAAACTCCTTCACCTGATGGATTTGGCAATAGATGTGGATGCATAGCATAGAAGTTTCCAAGAGCAGCAACAATTGTTTGAAAGCAAACTTTCTCATCATTCCATGTCACCTAAACAAGAGCAGCAACAATTGTTTGAAAGCAAACTTTCTCATCATTCTGCCCCGCGCAACGCGCGGGTAACCCCTCTAGTTCCTTATTAAAAAACTCTTTATTTCACCGTTTAAAGAAATTAACCAATATTTCACCATTAAACTTATTGTTTACACCATTTGTAAATATATTGTTAACCTAATAACCTTATACAACATATCACATACGCCTCCTCCAACGACGATCGTCTGCTCCTGTCGTTGACTCCTTAAGCGATCCTCCCCTGCTCGCCGCCGTTAGCCATCTCGTCGCCACCGGCCGGAGATCGTCGCAGCCCACAGCAACACCGGAGCTATCGATTTTTCCTTCGACCGCACAGGTTCATGTTTGTTCCTACTGTTTGCATTCGTCTTTCTCTGTCTGCTTTCATTCGTGTTTTTTTCCTTGCTGTCGATTTGTGCTTCTGTCGATCTTCATCTTTTCCCTGTTTTCTGTATCTGTTAGATTAATTTTTTGGTTCTCTGAATTTTCAATCGATATTTATACTGAATTGAATTGGAACTCAAAAAATCGTATACTGAATTGATTCCATATATAAAATGTAGAGATTAAAATCTAATATGTTAAGATTTGTATTTCATGTTTCTCTTTTTTTTGACAAAGGAGCTGTCGATTTTTTGGTATCTGTTTTCTGGTTCATGATATGAATTTTCCTTGCTGTCGATTTTTTTGATTTGAAGTTGAATGTGAAATGAGAACTGATTTTGAATGAAATACCTTTGAATGTGTAGTTTACCTTTGAATGTGAAATGAAAACTGATTACAAAGGCCAATTGTGTATGTGTTTGTTCTTCAATTTTCTATTGAACCTAGATGTTATTCTTAAGATGCTTATATGATAACTGGAACAATTTGAAAGTGTATGTGTTTGTTCAATTCTGTAACAGTTTGAAGGTGCATGCCTCTTTTGTTTTTGAATGAAATTCTTAAGATGCTTATATGATAATGGACTGTAATTTAGGTTATGGACACCAACAATGTTAATCTTGTTGATGCTGATACATCAAAAAAAGAAACTTAAGTCTAAACTTCATAATATAAAAGGAACTCCTTTTTGGTAATTTGACACATATAAGCAGTTTTTTTTTTTTTTTTGCCAAACACTAAAAATGGCTTATCAGCTTATAGGGTTTTGACACCGCTATAAGCTAATCCAAACATTTTTTTTAAAAAACTCCGTTTTGACATTGCTATAAGCTAATAAGATATAAGTTAAAAAGTTAAATGCATTTTTAATAAGCTTAGCCAAACACCCTTCTAATCCCTCATTTAATCATATTCCTTCTGCAACCAACCCATCTGCCCCTCCAGATCCTTCCAGTTACTGTGGGAATTGCATCGAATTATGTTGCACAAAATACATGAATTTTCTCTTTGGCATCCCCATGAATGTGTATGATGTTTTTGTGTGGAACTGCTAAAAACAATTTGGTCAATTGGTTTATCAAAAATGGCTTCTTTAACTCCATGATGATTTCCTGAAATCATATCATGGTTGAATGGACTGATTCATATTATGTAGAGTTGTAGACTGCATTATTATCATCTGATGTTAAACCTTTTTTTTTGTTACTTTGTGTTGGTTTTGTAACAAACAGATTCATAAGAAAAGTCCAAAAATGCTACAAAACGTACCTCACCAGATGATACAATCTCCCGCTAGGCTAGGCCTCCCAAACCCTAATTCACCAAACAAAAAATAACCCGTGAAATCCTCGACCTTCAAGACGCCAAACAAAAAATAACCCGTGAAATCCGATCCAAAGATTCCGCAATTCTCGCGTTTGCTAACAAACTTAAAGAATCCGAACGTGTTCTCGGCATGTTAGTCAATGATTACTCCGATTATCGCCGTTTAAAAAGATCCAAAGTTGAATAAAGTGAAGAGGATTCAAATACAACAACAGTTGTCACACATTTAAACTTAAACGATATTTTATCCTACGCACATAGAATAAGTTACACGACGTTTGCTCCGCCTGAGTTTGGGGCTGAGACAGCCCCTCTGCGGGGGGCTTTGCCCCCCGCACCTCAGGAGGAGCAGATGCGTGCTTCTCAGTTGTACTTATTTGCTGACATGGACGTGGGATTACCGAAATCCGAAAAGGAGAAATTTACGATTGAGCCCTTGGCTGAAAATGTGTTGGAGGGTAATTTGGTTGGGAATATGGCGATTAAGGATATGCTTCCCACGAATATTGTGGTGCCGTCTGGGTGGAAGTCGGGGATGCCGGTGCAGTTGCCGACGGATCTACCGATTCTTCCGCCGGCTGGATGGAAGCCGGGGGACCCGGTGGCTTTGCCACCGTTGGATTCAGTTGCTGTTGCTCCTAGGATGGAGGAGCAACAGCAATCGGTTCATGTTCCTGGGTTTGGGAAGGGACCACAACCGATACAGGTTCGACATGTGCAGCTTGATATTGATGATGATAGTGATACTGAGTATAGTAGTGATGATAGTTCTGATGATGAAGATTGATATCCACCTTGTAGTTTGTTTCAGTCAGTGTCAAGTTTAGGTTTTTCTTCTTAAAAATGCTCATTGTATGTAATAATGTATCAAGAATGTGTGTTTTGTTGGTTGGTTGGATGGAATGGAATGGATCTTTGAGTTTACATATTTAATGTTTATAGGATCTTTGAGACACAAAAATTTGAAAAAGAACAGTTGATGTTGGATAAAAATTGTGATTATTTTTAAGCTTTTCTTTACACAGTAAGTATATACGTGAAGCATACATGAAATCATTTCCAGTCTTACTCAAACTCGGTTCAGTTTTCGTCAATGTGATTGAGATACATGATATGTAAGGTAATCGAACATCAATATTTGGTATTCGCATAGTCCATAAAAAACCAATAAAATTACACTAATTAAAACAATTTTACACAAATATATACCTGCAGTTCATTTTAAATAAGATTAACGAACATCAATAGGCACAAATTTGCAAACCATTCTTCTTTGATATAATATTGCTCTTTAAAAGCATACAAATTTGCAAATTCCTAGCATTGGTTGAAGCTATATGATTATTCCATGTTTGATTGAGATTATCCCGCTTGAACATTTCTTTGATTCAAAATGATGAGTTGATATTAGTAATTACTCATAAGCAAAAAAATATAAAAAGAAAGAAATTAAAAAGTAGATTTGTTACTGCTTACCGATTTTTCAGGTTAACTTTTGCTATAGTTGGTAAAACTGTAACTAAGTTGCTATTATAAGGTAAAAATTTAAAACATGTTGTGTGTAGTGTGTACGTTACTATTTGGTGAAATTTGAATGAGTAGATTATAAAAAGAACAATGTTTTTATTAAATACTTCAAAATACACGTTTCATAGGAAAAAAAAAATCATCGACTGCGTCTTTTACCGATCTAATTTGCATTCACCATTGACCGTAAAGAATTACCATACACTCGCGAACGTATGAAGACCAATTTCCGACTATCTTTACTTGAATAATAAGAGAGAAAGTAATGGTAATAATATTGACCGTAAAAAATTACCGATCTAATTTGCATTCACCATTGACCGTAAAGAATTACCATAGAAGTTTCAAACAATCAGTTTATGCACAAATATAAATACATAATTACATCTAAGAATTACCATAGAAGTTTCAAACAATCATTTAAGAATTAATACACCTTTGATTTTGACCCAAAATCCTTATCCATTTTGTGTATTTAAGTTAGTTTTAAGAAAATGTAGTTACAGTGTACTACATTTTAAACAATAAAAAAAACCGTTTAAAGTTTAGATTACAAACCGTTTATAGTTTAAACAATCAAAATCCTTATCCATTTTGTGTATTTAGGTTACAAACCGTTTAAAGTTTAAACAATCAAAAAAACTGGAGCTCAAATTGTGAATTTAATCGACAAAACTTGAATTTGATGTTTTTCTTAGAAATTGTGCATTTTTTTTTGAAAGAAGGGTCTCTCTAACAAAGATGTCCAGTTTAGTTTAGCTTAACCATATAAAAACTTGCATTTTGTAAACGTGTTTTGGCTTTAATCCATAAGTATATATTTATACCATTTTTTCATCTATAACAAGTTGTAACTTGATTCTTGTAAATATTATATAATATTCAATTACTATATATATATATATATATATATATATATATATATATATAATATATACTTAGAGATTACAAGACTTTTTTTTGAATGCATAAAAAAAATACTTAGAGATTACAAGACTTTTTTTTGAATTATTTTTATAAAAAATCGCAGCTTTTTATTAAAATTCGCTGAAAAAAAAAATCATTTTTTTTATAAAAAAAAGGTTTTTTTTTCAAATTTTTTTTTTCAGCGAATTTCTTTAAAAACCTGCGATTTTTTCATAAAAAATGTCAAAAAAAAGTTTTGTGATCTCTAGGTATTTTTTTTATGCATTTTTATGATTTTTTGGGTTTTTTTAGGGTTTTTTGTTTTCCAAATAACCCTTCCCTATATATATATATATATATATATATATATATATATATATATATATATATATATATATATATATATATATATATATATATAGGGTTGAGATCGGTTGAGAACTCATATTTTCCCAAGAACCCGAGAACTAAAAGTTGAGCATTGGATAAAAAGTAATTCATTAATGACATTATCGTCATCTTACCAATTTTTTTAAATACAGATTTTTAATTTTTTATAGAAAACATGAATTGTTGAAAAAAAAAATTGAAAAAAAATATTTTTTAAAAAATCTGTAAGTTTTTCAAAAAACTGAAATTTCAAAAAAAAAACTGCATTTTTTTTTGCAAAATAACTGCAATTTAAAAACTGTAATTTTTTTGAAAAACTGTATTTTTTTCAAAAAAAACTGCAAGTTTTTTAAAGAAGTTACATTTTTTTCAAAAAAACTGCATTTAAAAAAAAACTACAAATTTTTCAAAAAAACTGCATTTTTTTAAAAAAGTAAATTTTAGGTGCATATATGCATATTTTTTCAAATGCATATATTTATATTTCTTATACTATAATATTCGTAAGTAAATCACAAAAGATCTCATTTTTATTAATTAATCTATAAACATAATAGTACAAGTATTTTATTCGATACAAAATAAAATATAAAAAATAAAAAATGCTATAAATTTCAAAGCGTTTTCATGTCTTCGTGTCAATATTTCCTTATTTTCTTTAATTTATCATTTTTCACCTCTTCAATATTCACCACAATTTCTTTCAAATCTACAAGAAAATTAAAAAAAAATGATTGATGCAAAAACACTCACAAAAATACATATGTGATTTACATATGAATCACAAATGATTCACATATGAATTACATGTGATTTATATGTGAATTAACTAATTGATGCAAAAACACTCACAAAAATACATATGTGATTTTCATGTGATTAACATATGAATCACATGCGATTCACATATGAATCACATGCGATTCACATATGAATCACATTTACATATGACATCATATATAAATCACATGTAAATCAAATGTGAATCACATGTAATTCATATGTGAATCACTTGTGATTTACTTATGAATTACATGTGATTCATATGTAAATTACATATGAATCACATGTAACTCATATGTAAATTACATATGAATCACATGTAACTCATATGTGATTCACTTGTGATTTACATATGAATTACATGTGAATCACATGTAATTTATATGTGAATCACTTGTGAATTAAATGTGATTAATATGTAAATTACATATGAATCACATGTAACTCATACGTAATTCACTTGTGATTTACATGTGAATCACATGTAATTCATAAGTGATTCACTTGTGATTTACATGTGAATCACAAGTGAATCATATGTGAATTACATGTGAATCATATATGAATTACTTGTAATTCATATGTGAATTACATGTGAATCATATATGAATTACTTGAAATTCATATGTGATTCACTTGTGATTTACATGTGAATCACATTTAATTCATATGTAATTCACTTGTGATTTACATGTGAATCACGTGTAATTTATATGTGAATTACATGTGAATCACATGTAATTCATATGTGATTCACTTGTGATTTACATGTGAATCACATGTAAGTCATATGTGATTTACATGTGAATCGCATGTAATTCATATGTGATTTACATGTGAATTACATGTGAATCACATGTAATTCATATGTCATTCACTTGTGATTGTTTTTTTATACCATTTGCATCACAAAAATCTTTACCACATAAAACTAAAGATGAAAGGTTAGGATCAGCAGCAATAAGTCCCTCTTCTACTTTATTTCCAAGACTAATGGCATCCAGACCACTCAACCTGAAAAAGGTCAAAACATTATCTAACAAGAGTTAGTACTTAACAGATCTAAGTTCTTCACAATATCACACAGAATTCAGAACCAGATTAGCCAATCATAACAGCTAATTAACTAAATCACACCAATAAAAACATATATTTGTTCATTATGAGAACCAGATTAACCACTGCACTATACTTTTATATGAATCAAATATGCATTAGTATATTTATGATTCACATTAAATTCATCACTGCCAACACATAAATAATAGAGATCCATTTAGAAAAATAGGACCTATTCTTTTTCAAACTCAAAAATAAAGCACCAATAACATATGTTGAATTTGTTGAAAACTTGCATTCTTCCAGAGAACGGAGTAGCAATTGATGGTTTGAAGCTGTTGTTCCATAAAAGCAGAGTTGATTTAATATACATAAGAGTTTCCATGTGAAAAAGTCATAACAGAAGTTCTTTGAAGTGTAACCTATTCTTTTTCAAACTCAAAAATAAAGCACCAATATTTTCTAGCATTAATATTTTTGTTTAGAAATCACATTATATTGTTCTACACAAACTTTCAAATATATCAATTACTTTTTGTATTTTCAAACTGAATTTTTTTGAAAGTACAACGCAACAATAGAAAAAAATGGCCCTCTCTAAAATATATCCCTATCTTTTGCATTTGCGCCGAAAATCCCCCTGTGAAATCCTTACTTCCACTAAAACGAGGGAGATGGACCTTGAATGGGAAAGGTTGAGGCGTATTTAGTTTTGTAGTTGCATTTTCTCAAATATCCCTTCTAAGGTCTTTTAACTCAAAAATGGATGTAATGTACACAGATGAAACAAGTTAAAGGAACTTAGAGTGCAAAAAAAACGTACCTCCTGAAACATTTCCTTTCCCTTGTCTTTTATAAAAATCTGAAACTCCTTCACCTGATGGATTTGGAAATAGATGTGGATGCATAGCATAGAAGTTTCCAAGAGCAGCAACAATTGTTTGAAAGCAAACTTTCTCATCATTCCATGTCACCTAAACAAGAGAAGCAACAATTGTTTGAAAGCAAACTTTCTCATCATTCTGCCCCGCGCAACGCGCGGGTAACCCCTCTAGTTCCTTATTAAAAAACTCTTTATTTCACCGTTTAAAGAAATTAACCAATATTTCACCATTAAACTGA